GAGAGCACTGCTTTGCTTTTTGATTCCGAGAGCATGCGACACAGATTTGTCAGGGTCCTAGGGAACGGGATTCAGGCTGTTTAAGGGACCCTAACCCTTCACAGTGAGTCTAGGATGTCCATCGGGTCATCCAGGCTAGCGGCTAGCGTTGAGCAGGCGTCACTATTCAAAGGCCTTGTTCCTTGCTATCCTAAAACCCTAAACCCTAAACCCTAAGCCGGAATCCCGAAACCCCAAACCCTAAACCGGAATCCCGAAACCCTTGTCAGGATTGCCTGGTCACCCTCGAGAATGGCGTCAACAGGCAAGCGCCTGCGTACATCAAGGCGCCTCTCGAGCTTCGAAAGCACTGAACCCTACCTTAGCGGCTTGGGGGGGTTTTCGAGTTGAGGGTTTCGGGACGAGCACTCAACTCAGAACTCAGGGCTATATAAAAATAAAAATAGCTATATATATATATATATATATATATATATATTTATTTATTTATTTATTTGTATTTATATTTATACTTATATTTATATTTATATATTTATATATTTATTTATATATTTATTTATATATTTATTTTTATATTTATTTTTATATTTATTTTTATATTTATTTTTATATTTATTTTTATATTTATTTATATATTTATTTATATATTTATTTATATAGGGTTTTAGGGATTAGCGTTTAGGGTATTGCGTTGAGGGCTTAGTGTCTAGCCTAAACCTTATACACCCTAAACCCTAAACCCTAAATAGTTCTTTGCCATGGGGTGCGCCCTCGGGTTCACAGGGATTGAAGGGCCCATAGTATCTTTCAATCTTGCTTAAAGGCTGTCTCTGCTCCCTCTGATGCCAGGATTTAGGGTCTTGGGCTTAGGGCTTAGGGAACCCGACAGCGGATTTCAGGCAGGCGACAGGGTCCTCATAAACAAGAAGACCTTCGAGATTCAGAAGCGCGTGGACTGAGCCCAGAAGGAGGCGGTTAGAATTGGGTAGCTATTCAGGCTTATCAGGGTAACATATATGGAATAATACATATATATATATGTATATATATATATATACATAGTAGACATATGGGGTTTATAGGCTGCCGGCTTGACTTTGGGGTTTAGAGGGGACTTTCTAGCGCCAACCGAAGTTTTCTTCAGCACCCCTTCGCTGCGGAGGTTTGTGCTTTCTTCTGCCCCATTTCTCTTCTGCGCAGAAGGCTCCTCCAGACAGAAGATATTTGGGGGTTTACCATATTTGGGGTACCTTATTGGGATGTCTGTTTTTTGGGGGGTCCCCTACTTCGTAAACCCACATGTCGTGAAGACATGGATTTTACCTGGTGTCAAAGCGTTGTTCCAGGTCTTGGGGCTGTAGGCATTGTAGAGAGAGCAGGATCCCTCAACCCTAAACCCTAAATCGTAAACCCTAAACCCCAAACCCCAAACCCTAAAGGAGGAACCTGCATGCACACCAACATGAACTCAGGCTACCGAAGGAACAAGCGGCTGCGGAAGCAATCGCGCCCATGCCTGCCTTAACTACCCCTGTGTTGAGTTGTGATGATCCTAAGTTGACGGTGCTCCCAACTTATCGGGTTTAGGGTTTAGGGTTTAAGGTTTAAGGTTTAGGGTCACTGTACAGCTCAGGCAATTGCGGCAAACGATTGACCACATGATTGTCACACACACCTTTCTTTCACTCAGCAAACCCGGTCTCTGGGTCCCCCCAAATGTGCAAAGGGACAGGGATACCCACACCCTGAACTTCCAGAATCGTCATGTGGATCCCTTTCATGTGCAGCCTAAGCTTCACAGGGCAGCGCATTGTTGCGCAACTGCTGCCGCATCGAGCGCTTGTGAATCTGCCTGCTTGCGTGGCGTCGCGAAGAAAAGCGACTTGGACTGTGAGGGCCAGTGACTGCCAGTGCTTTGTGATTTTGTCCTTGTAGGGACTTGGGAAAGTCGGGGTCTCCCTCCAATGGCGCCTTCACCGCCATTCCGAGAATGTACCTCAGTAGCTGGTGTGAAGCATGGTTATCCTGAATCCGATACCCCAAGCCCCTTGAACCCTACCGAACTCCTGCATTGATGGCTTCATGAGCGAGTCAGTGTAGCTTTAAGCTTTGGGCCTTCATTCGCAGTGCGGGAAGGCGAAGCGAAGAAGCCTTGTGAACGCGGGGACTCCCTCCCACACTCGAGCCAGACAGAGCCATGGATATCGGTGAAGTCCTCTGGTCCCAGTGCGTCCATGGTTCCAGTGTGGGCGTTGAATGGTGTTGAGGTAGGGTTGAAGGCTTACAAGTAAAAAAGAGCTCATACAGGCCCCGTGCTCCAAGCTCTATAGCAGAAGACTTCTTATAACATTGCACACCTCTCTGTATATACGACCCTGAAAGGCCTTCTAGCGCATCTGTGGGCTTTCCTGGAGCTTTTGTAGGCGCACCTGGGATCCAACGCTGACAACGACGACATGGTCTGCGCCCCAGTTGTGCCTACACGCTCTGGTCTATAGGGTAAACCCAAACCTCTCCAAAAGTCCACGAAACAACCAGGTCTTTTACGTGCCTGCTTCCTAATGGCATTAATAAAAGTAACAGCAATACCAATGGTAATGGTCATAGTAATAGTAATAGTAATAGCAATAGTAACAGTAATGGTACTAGCAGGAATTGAAATGTTAATGGTAATTGTAATGGTAATAATAATAACAATCATAATAGTAATATTTTTTGTAATCGCAAGAGCAAGAGCAATAGCAATAGTAATAGTACAGTAGTAGTAGTAGTAGTACTACTACTACTACTACTACTACTACTACTACTACTACTACTACTACTACTGCCACGACTACTACTAGTACTAGTAATAGTAATAGAAATAGTAATAGTAATAGTAATAGCAATAGTAATAGTAATAGTAATAGTAATAGTAATATTAAATAGCAATAGTAATAGTAAATAGCAATAGTAATAGTAATAGCAATAGTAATGGTAAGTGCACTAGTAATAATGCTAGTACTAGTACTAGTAGTAGTAATAGTAATAGTAATAGTAATAGTAATAGTAGTACGAATAGTAATAGTAATCGTAATAGTTATAGTTATAGTAATAGGAATTGCAATTGTACTGGAGTAGCAATAGCAATAGCAATAGCAATAGTAATAGTAGTAGTAATAGCAATAGCAATAGTAATCGTAATCGTAGTAGTAGTAACAAGTAGTAGTAGTAGTAGTAGTAGTAGTAGTAGTAGTAGTAGTAGTAGTAGTAGTAGTAGTAGTAGTAGTAGTGGTAGTAGTAGTAGTGGTAGTGGTAGTGGTAGTGGTAGTGGTAGTGGTACTTGTAGTAGTAGTAGTAGTAGTAGTAGTAGTAGAAGAAATAGTACGAAGTCATAGTCATAGTCATAGTCATGGGAGGGGTGGCTTGGTTGGGGAGGGTTAACTTGCAAGGAACTTGGAGGTTTTGCTGAAGTCGAAGGCGCAGCTTGGTTTAGTCTGACGGGCTATTTGTTTGGCGCGCATAGACCCCCCTTACCTTTCTCTGGACGCCATAGGCACATTCGGGTGACATGGGCTTATTGCAGGAGGATGTTCTGTGGGGAGTTGAACCATGGGCCTTAATGGAACAGTCTGCAGACTTCAAGGTCCAAGACTTACAATTGCATCCTAACCTCTCGGTTGGATTCGCTCAGGAAAGCTTCGACTGAGGCAGCACCTTGCGCCGAAGGCAGCTTGTGAAAGCTGCGTCTGATAAAAGATGTCAAACCACCTCGCCAAGCTGCTCTTCAATGTCCGCATGTCACTAATGACCTTCTCTTTTATGCCTCAAAAGTTAACACCCCAGAGCCCTATCCCCAGACATGACTTGTATAGAACAGGAATGCATAGAGAAGCAAACGAACAAACAAACATGTGTCTAGTACATAGCATGCAATTGTGTAACCTTTTTCTTATATATATATATATGTATACATAGTCTATCGTAGACATAATACTAGAGCTTGTCTTAAAGGCATCAACCTCGCACAGAGCTAATGCAATTTCAAGGCCTGTGGTGAAAGAGCTTAGGGTTTGCCTTTCTGGGCTGGAGCAAGAGGAGGTTGGGGGCTTGTAGCTTTTGAACTCTTGCGGTGACGGGATATAGGGTTGTTGGTTTTAGGCTTCAAACTCTCACCTCACCCGGTTGAGCAGAAGTCACGCCTTCAGCAACCAAAGCCACGAAGTTATGAAACGATGGCTGTTTTAGCAGCTCGTGCCGTGATTTGGCGGGGGTGCCTTGTTTGTGCACATGTCGGAGGAGTCCCCTAAAACCCATGTAGTACTACAGTGCGCTGGGCCTAACCCCAAACCTCATAAGCCCAAAGCACCAATTAAAGCCCTCGAAATTCGAACCCTTAATGAAACCCGAGATAGACGAGTCCTCCCAAGCTTTAAAGCCTCAACCCATAAACCACCTCCGCTGTCTGCCTGCCCTTGCCTGGCTCCGACAGCGGGCTTCGCGCGCCTTCCCTCCCAGAACGATCATACCGGACCAATCAGCTGACTTAAGATCCTTGGCTGGAGGGGTTTAGGGTTTTGGGTTTTGGGTTTTGGGTTTTGGGTTTTGGGTTTTGGGGGGTGTGCCCTCCCAGATCTTAACTGTAAGCCTCCCTGAGCGTTGACCCGAGGCGCAATCCTAGAGCTGAGGCCAAGAAGCCGAATCCAGCGATTCAAGGCAGTTTCAATGCAGGGCACCCTTTCAACCCCAAACCCGGTTCAGCGCAGAGTGGGGTGGGGAGAGGGGGGTGGGGGGGGGGGGGGGGGGGGGGGGGGGGGGGGGTGTGCAGGCGCACACAAGCCCTGGGCCCTTTATAGTCAGGTACATGTATGGTTCATACCATATTTGCTATAATATACTCTATAATACTATATAATAATACTATATAAGACGATATAAGACGATATAAGTGTAGTGATATTTCACGTGACCCCCGCCCACCGGGGCACGATTATGTGTCGATGCTGAGGACTGAGGACATCATGGCCCGGGGTATCATCAAGCACCTGAAGCGCATGTATGCTGCTGGCCTTCTATATCCCCTTGGGAATTGTTTTTTCTTTTTGTTTATATACAACCCAAGAGGATATTAAACATACTACTTTTGTTAAGATTCTAAGGGGAGTATAGCCTAAGTCTATAAGGGTAGTTCAATGGTCCCTTACCTCCATTAAAGAATTCTGAAGTATGAACCCTTGGGTTTTACAGGGTATATGAGGGGTCCCCATTAAGGGCCCATACTAAGGCCCTTTGACGAAATCAAGCCTGAACCCTGAGCTGCCCCATAATAGCCCAAGCCCTGGTAGCCTCCACCTTTCGGTGTTTTTCGGGTTTGGGATTTCGTGTTGAGGGTTTAGGGCTGCAGACTGAAATCCTGAACCGGTACAAACCCCTCCGGATGTGATTCAGGATATGGGTTCAAGTTGGGCCCACGAAGGTCCCCTCGCTGGCCCCCTCGCTTAACAAACTGAACAGGTCGCATTACGGTTGGAGTAGTGGTAGTCTGGCTGGTTCTCTTCGTAGGGAATAAGGGAATGAGGGCCCTCCATAATCCCCCGGGTAGATATAGGGCCTACTTCCATCGTTCCCTACTAAGAACCAGGGGGTAGTGGTACAGTAGTGTGGAGGTAGAGGAGGAAGCGGAAGAACAGAAAGTCAAGGAAGCCCCAGTCTGGGAGTCGTCGTGATGATCGTCGTAGCAATGGTTAGAAGCAGTGCGGGAGCTGGAACGTCTTAGGGTTTGTATAGGGTTTAGGGTTTATAGGGCTCAGGGTATCCCCCCAAACCTTCTGCTCAAAGAGTGGCACACTCGGATTCCATCAGAAAAAGTCAAGGCGCCGAAGCACTGGATGCTCGACAAGCTCCGTGGCCGATGGGCCGAGCCCTCGACCCCAAAGGTCATAGGGTTCAGGGTTCAGTGTTCAGGGTTTAGGGTTTAGGGTTCAGGGTTCAGGGTTTAGGGTTTAGGCACCGTATCAAAAACTTTTCTAAACCCTAAACACCCCCAAAACCCCAAAACCCCAAAACCCCAAACCCCAAACCCCAAACCCCAAACCCCAAACCCCAAACCCCAAACCCCAAACCCCAAACCCCAAACCCCAAACCCTAAACCCTAAACCCTAAACCCTACAGAAGTTGCTTCGGAGTTTGGCATTGGGATGCACGGACCGAGGATGCCCCTGGAACAAATGCCCAGTCTGAAACCGATTAACCCCTGTGAGCTCTGAGGTTTAGGTAGGGCTTAGGGTTTAGGGTTTAGGGTTTCGGGTTTCGGGTTTAGGGTTTAGCTGGTTGATGCAACGTAAGCACCCTTTAGGGGGCTTCAGGTTTTCACATCCTCCTTCAGAAGCTCCTAAACCCTAATTAAGCCCTAAACCCTAAACCCTAAACCCTAACCCCTAAACCCCTAAACCCCTAAACCCCTAAACCCCTAAACCCCTAAACCCCTAAACCCTAAACTACCCCGAGGCCCCCAAGCCCAACGCCGGTCCCCACAAGCTCCGGGAGTGCCTGCCGCTCATCGCCGCTGGACGCTGCAAATTTGAGGGGGGGGGGGGGGGGGGGGGGGGGGTTTGGGGTTTAGGGTTTAGGGCTTAGGGCTTAGGGCTTAGGGTTTAGGGGTTTAGGGTTTAGGGGTTTAGAGCAACTGTATCTGACAGGGTCTGTATCACTGTTTAACATGTCGCTTAACTTTTCTAGCTCTTGGGTTCAGGTTACACCCCGGAAGTGCTCGGCGCTCAACCCACAAGGGCTAAGTTTTGAGTTGCGGGGGGCGTTATGCATGAAGTTGCAGGTCGGGGCATTGGGGCGTCAGCTTGCTTCGTGCTGGCTGAGAAAGTTTAGGTTTCGTGCTTCTTGCGGGCCATGACTAATCTTTTTGCGAACGCTGCGCGTCGACCGCGGCCCGAAAATCTACAAAACCCTTGGGAATCAAGGGGCGTTTGGGCTAGGGGTTTAGGGTCTAGGGTTTAGGGCTTAGGGCTTAGGGTTTAGGGCCAGCTTAGGGTTTAGGGATCTACTGGTAGAATCACTGAAAGCCGCGGCTTGCGCTTGGACTGCCAACTTCAATGCGGCGGGGCACCGTACAGGATCCATGCCTTGGCGCATGAAATCTCAGCTCTTCATTGAGAAGCTGCCAAAAATCGACGAAAGCGGGGGGAGAGGGGGGCGGTAGTCATTAGGGGTCTGACTCAATTTCGAGGGAGGGAGCAGATTAGAGGAGGGAACGGGGGTCATCATGGCAACCTCCAGCGCCCACGGCCTCGGCACAGGTAGCAGGTTTTTGAGGTAAGGGGCCCTTTGCTTTTTTTGTGGTAAGGGATTATCTTTGGGAAAAATCATGCTCCCACAGCGTCGTTTTGTGGTAAGATATGGCCCACCACCCCCAAAACCCTGACTTGGCCGAGGTCATGCTGCGCCAGCGACTGAAGTATGCATGGGCTCTCAGCAAACCGGGGTGGGCAAGGAGTGCGTCCATAATACTTTTTGCATTTGAGGTAAGAAAAAATGGCTGTCAACCTGCGTCGTTTGGGCCCAGGGGTTTGGTGGTTTTTGTAGTGTTGTGCCAGAAAATGCTAGGGCTGCCTCGTGGGCGCTATTGCTTGCCACAATAGGGGTCATAACGGAGCTAATCCAAGCGGCAAATCCCGTCCCAGCGGAAGAATTGCAAATCCTCAGCTTTCATAAGCCCCTCCTCCTCCCCCCATCTTTGACCCGAAGGCTCATGTCACTTTTGTCAGCCCAACAGCAAGGCAAGTACTCAACAATTGCTCTGGGGCACCTGTTGCTAGACTGAACGCGGGTAGGGTACGTGTGAGCTTTCCCAGGCCCTGACCTACCGCGAGGTGAAAATGATGCTTGGTCTGACAAGGCTTTAGCAGAAAAGGCTGGAGCGTCCTGCACCCCGAAACCCAAATTCACGCATAGTTGCGTGTCAACATAGTAGAAATGGCAATGAGCAGAGCACAGTTTTGCACCCCATTTCCTGCCCGGGGCGTTTCGATGGAGGCCCTACCCAGGAGGTCGGAATAGTTGTTAATAGCATTCTCTTATGGTCCCTTTATAACAAAACCAGAATAACCCCCCAAAGCCTTATTCTAATTATTCAGGCCCCTATATTACACATGGCATAGTTCGGGCAGTCGACAAATTGAATTCCTTTGGTGTTCTATCCTGCCTTGCTAATGGCAGTTGACTCCTCCAGCGGGCGTGGGTGCGTATTATGGTCTGCAGGGATTGAGTAGCCACTAAACCCCCGAACATCTGAAAGGCCGCGTGAGGCTTTCAGATGGTTCTAGTGATTTTGGAGGAAGGTTTCAGGGTTAGGGTTTTCTAGGAGGCCCAGGAGAATGGACACAGCATTCCGGTTGAAGCTAATTGGGAGCTCAATTCCGGGTTTAGAGTTTAGGGTTTAGGGTCTAGGGTTTAGGGTTTAGGGTTTAAGGTAAGGTGGCCGAAGAGAGCCCAGGATTGTGATGCAGCGGCTGATCAAGGTTGCCGGGAACTCACAAGTGCTGAATTAGAGCTTAGGGTTGAGGGTTTAGGGTTTAGGGTTTAGGGTTTAGGGGGTTGGTTCATAGATTTTGTTGGCCAGGGTAGGGGAGAATGTCGGGTTAGCACATCCCTTGCACCTCCCGAACTTCGAACGAAACGAAGACTCATGAAACCGTAAACCCCCCGGGTAACCGCAGTGCCTTCAGGAGTTCTGGGCCTTGTTTGTTCAGGATTTCTTGAAGGTGTCTTAAAGGGGCTTCGTTCTTTGAAGACTCAAGGCTGAGCACGGAACCCCTTAAAGTCTAGAGGATTCAGGGGACGTTGGGAAAGTGCGTGACCGACAGACCGGCTCCACGAGATGCACGCGAATGGCAGCCGATAGCATAACACATCGGAAAGCCTAGGCTTCGCTGCTATCGGATTTTTCCAGACCGATTTGTCAGCATAAACCACTCCCAGCACCTGAGCTCTGTAAGCCCTACTTGGAGAGTTCCACGGCTTCGGGGGTGCTGCTCGCTCTTGGCGTGGTCATGGCGGCATGCTGGCGGGCCAACCCGCGTGCACGTTCACGAGGACACGGTGTGGCATAGGATGTGTGCCAAAATGTGCAAGTGTGAGCAGTGCAGGTTGGGTTTTAAACTTTACCCCTGCATCTAAACTCGGGATCTGGCCTCAAGGCACAACCTTACAAGGAAAATCGCCACGATGGACTTCTGCAGGACTGGCCTGGGCTTGGCCACTAGCGGCGGCGGTCGGCACGCTCAGGGTTCCAGCGTTTCGGGCGGGTCTTTAGCAATTTCGGTTTTAAAGGTTTTTTGTTTTGGTGAGGGCTTGGATTTTGAGTTCTTGGGTTCATGTGGGCAGCATCTTTACAAACATTCAGTTTAGGACTCAACGAGTCAAGGCGCTGGGACTGAGGCGGGATATGTAGAGGTTAGGATGCAAGGGCATTAGGGAGTCTTGCGTGTCATGTCAGGGGACTTCGGGCCGGATTCAGAGCCTTTGTTGGGGGTTTCGGCGCAGCCTTCAGGTGGCTAGGGAGCCTCTTATAGACAGTTCGAAGTCAGGAAGGATCCCTGATGCGTTCAATCCGAAACCCTCAGCAAAAAAGACCCGAAGTCCCAGTCTAAGAGGCCAGCAGAACTGACACCCCTGACTTGCACAGGAGTTGAACCACACAACCATGATCCCACACGGAACCTGAGACCCCACAGCCACCACCCACAATAAGGATCCCCTAAACCCTACACCCTACACCCTAAACCCTAAGCCCGCTTACAAGGACCCCAATAAGGTACCCCTAACAAAATCTCGTAAACCCCCCACCTGTCTGGCAAGGGATGAAGACTCTAAGGTTGTACCCCTAAAGGTTCCCCAATATCCTGCCAATATGGCCCTTATATTCCCTTAGGGATCCTTAGAAAGGGATCCCCAAAACGCAAGGGTACAACCTTAAGGGTCCAAGGTAGAACTCCTAGAACCAAGACCCTGTGACTTGAAGTCCGAGGCGCTGCTGCTCCGGCACACACTGGAGGCTTCGGCCATCACAGGTGGGATGCATGGCGCGTTTCTTTGTGTGTGGCTCTTTTTTTAAGGTTTCCAACCCTAAACCCTGAAACCCTGAAACCCTAAAACCCTAAAACCCTAAAACCCTAAGACCCTAAACCCTAAAACCCGAAAACCCTAAAGCCCTAAAGCCCTACAGCAAAGGAGCTGAGGATGCCTAGGTCGCGCTTTGTAGCATGCGCTTTGCCAATCCATGATTCAGAGACAAGTCACGGTTGGGGCAGGCAAAGTCGTGGCCCGATGCGTCGACTCTAAGTCCCCATGGGTTTAGGGTTTAGTAGGGTTTAGGGCTTGGGGTTTAGGGATTAGGGTTTAGGGTTTAGGGTTTAGGGTTTAGGGTTTCAGGTTTGGGCTGAGGGTTTATATAGGTATTAAGCTTTCGGGGTTTGCTCAGAAGCCCCGGCGCACATCGGCCGCGCAGGTTTCCTCCTGCAGCGGGGGCCCTCAAGACGTGGTTCCTGGCATAGGGTTCAGGGCTTATCGGGTTTAGGGTTTAGGGCTTAGGGCTTCGGGTTTCGGGTTTAGGGCCACAACACAAAGATCCCTAAAACTCTGCAAGTCTTCTACGCCCAGGGCCAGGCTACAGTTCGAGTCAGGTTTGCTGGGGGTTTGGGGTCTAATGGGGCAGGGTTTCGGGTTTAGGGTTTTGGGTTTTGGGTTTTGGGTTTTGGGTTTTGGGTTTTGGGTTTTGGGGGTTTAGGGTTTAGGGTTTCTTACACAGCCCCCCCTAACCCAAAACTTTGGAAGGTATAGAAGCCAAGCCTCTGGGCCGCCTGAGGACCCAGAATTATGCAGCAAAAGCAGCCTAAACCCTAAACCCTAAACCCTAAACCCTAAACCCTAAACCCTAAACCCTAAACCCTTGAATCCTAAACCCTAAACCCTAAACCCTTGAATCCTACTTCTAATAGCGGCCCTGGGGCCTCCGAAGCCCAGCATCCCTACCTCCAGGCCCTTTCGGCGGCGGGAGCTGCTCTCAGCAGCAGCGCTGCTCAGCGCGCCCAACGCCACTTCGGGGAAGGGGGGGGGGGGGGGGGGGGGGGGGGGGGGGGGGGGGGGGGGGGGGGGGGGGGGGGGGGGGGGGGGGGGGTTAGGGTTGAGGGTTTTAGGGTTAGGGTTTAGGGTTTAGGGGGGGGGGGGGGGGGAGGGGAGTTCGGGTGCGGATGAACACTTAGCCTCTTGCTGCTTGCTGGCTCAGGTGCTGGATGAACAAATATCTGGCCTCCAGGCTTAGGCTACTGGTAAGTTGCATCACTGCAGCGCCATGTTTCAGGTAGAAACCTGCTCAAACTCAAGCATGGCGCAGCGATTTACTGCTGTACCCGCGCTTGGCTTCGTACCGCAGCTCCCGAAACCCTAAACCCTAAACCCTAAACCCTAAACCCTAAACCCTAAACCCTAAACCCTAAACCCTAAACCCTAAACCCTAAACCCTAAACCCTAAACCCTAAACCCTAACATCGGCCCACCCTCGAATCAGAAGCCAAACCTGCAGTCGGAGGCGGCCTCGGCAGCGGCAGAGCCATGCCACTTTGGCTTGGTTACAAGGGAAGGCTGACGTTTAGGGTTTAGGGTTTAGGGTTTAGGGTGACTATCAAAAGGATGTTTCTTTTGGTTTTTTTGGGGGATTCCCAGGATATTTTGGGGGTTTTTTGGGGATCCAAGAGATGCAGAGGGGCCTGGGGCACCAAAAAAGATCTTCTGCGCCTCTCAATGGTCAAGCATTTCACTCTAAACTCCCCCATCGCCCTAAACCCTAAAGCCCTAAGCTTCAAAGCCCAGAAAGTCCTAAACTCGCAAGTCCTGCTTAAAAGCAGAAACTGGGCGCTGGGAGAGCAAGCAGACGCGGTCAAGGAAGGGTTTCGGGGTTGTTTCTGTTCTCCTCATCATGAAGACAGAACACACCCAATGACCACGAAGCTCGGGCTAAGGGCTTGCAGCCAGCATTGTGTATAATCCAAAGAATGAGCAGCTCATAGGTGATGACGCCTGCCTCTCCAAGATCTTTGGTCTCTTGGCTTGCAGGTGTGTGTAAATGCCGAGACCGACCATGAACGCAGAGCCCCTGAACACCACAAAGCCGCAACTTGCGAAAATACTGTGAAACCCTACACGGAGAACCCCCCCCCCTTCAAGCCTGTTTCATCTGCTCAGACGTTACACCACGCCTTGATGAGCGTTTTGCCTTGTTTGTTCACGCCTGGATCGACCTTGGCAGGAAACTTCGCGAATCCAAACTCGCAGGAGGAGCGGGACATCTTCTTCTCCTTCAGCTGCTTGCAAAAAAAGCTGAGGTCATGGGGGTTTGGGTGTAGGGACTTTCGTAGACAAGCATCAGGGGCTGCGTGCAAACCCTTTAGCGCCAACCCTGGCCCGGAAGCATACCAAACATAGTATTTTCAAGATCCGGGCTGCACGGGGAGGCTTACGGAAAGCGGCCACAATACCTTCATAAGTGCCGTTTACTTAGCTTACTTCGGGGTACTTGGACATAGTTTTCAATCTTTGGTTACTATACTCCCTAAGGAACAGCAAAAATCACAATTTCTGCTAGAGTGCCAAGTTCAGTAGAGTTTAGGTGCAGCATAGACTATTGGCGGCTCGGAGGGCAGACGGAATTGCAAAAGGTGGGCAACTGTGTTGTTTAAACATTCTTGAAGGACCAAATGATTCATAAAACCGGGATCATATACCCCGATTATTAGCTACCGGAATCCCTATTACGGTATGTGAAGTCTAAAACCTTTCAGGGTTCACTTGATCCTCATAAAGTTCTGACCTCGGGATGTTCCTCCTTATACCAAACCTTAGTAGGGATTATAGTAGGGGATACTATAATCCCTATTGAGGACTGATCGTATCAGGGGGGGCCATCCCAATTGTGACCTAAACCCTAAACCCTAAACCCTAAAAAACCGATTCCAAAGGCGAGGAGAGCATCACCTACGCGTATGGCACGATCACCCCGAAGTCTGCACTTCGGCTTGGGCAGCACGAACACACTTCCCCCGCCTCCAGCATTCGCCAAGAGCCTGACAGGGTTTACCGTTTACAGAGTCCGTTTTTAGGGCTTATAGGGTTTATAGGGTCTGGGATTTTAGGGTGTTTAGGGTGTACGGTTTAGGGGTTTCGGGCGTACTTCGGCTCTGAAAGGTAGGCTTGACAGTCGAAGCTCATGGAGAGATATGGAGAGGACGATTGTGCTCAGGGCCTTCTTCGTATCTATTTGTTTTCATTTTGTTTTCGTTTTGTTTTCAGTGGTTGCTTTTTGGGTAATTTTGCGCCGGCCCTTCTCTAGAAGACACGCGCTCGCTCGTGAGCTGTTTTCCGCTTGTCACGAGACCGTAGGCACCTTTATGCCTCGGTGAACTTACACTAGCTACTACTTGTATTCCCTTATGGTCCCTTTATCTTTATACTATGATAATAGTATTCCCTTATGGTCCCGTTGTTTTTTTTCTAGAAGAACACCCCAAAACCCTATCAGGCCCCTACATTTGTTACCTTTCATCCATCAACCAGCCAGAGGTACGCTCAGTGCTGAAGCGTCTGGACTTCGACGCCACAGAAACTGGGCGTTATGATAATTCGGGTCGTTCACCCTAGGCTCCCGAATTATGGAGTACCTCATGCTCTACTGTACGTCCCTACTCTGTCTCTCTCTCTCTCTCTCTCTCTCTCTTTACTGTCCTGCACCGCAGTCTCTGCGCAGGCTGCTTTGATCCACCTCGCGCAAGATGATCGGTGATAGAATGTCGACCCATAGCTCAGAGCTCGAGCAGATAGATTGGCAGGAAACTAGAACAGTAATTCAGTGGGAAGTCGTCCCGGACATAGGCTGTGCTTTTCACGCCACCTTGTCGGAAACAGACCGCAGCCCACCCGTTCTCGATGTGGCGCGTCTCTTCGGGATGCCTCAAGAGGTCACCTTCTGAGCGGAAGACTTTTTGACTTATACGCATCCGTGCAGATCTCCCGGCCAGAGAGCAGCCGACATCACAGACAAAGATGCAGGGCAGCTTGGACACTTGAAGACCAAGTAGCATACATCTGCGCTCTGAAGGACGGTGAAACCCCGATGTAACGTGTTGTAGGGCGTCAGGGCGGTGGGGGGGGGGGGGGGGGTGAAATGATCCTGAAAGGTCCAGAGTGCACTGGCAAATCTTTGCGAATGCAAGCTAAGCCTTTGAATGCGTGTTTGTTTGCAGGAAAAAGATGGCCCGGTAGCATGGATGTTCATCGTACCGGAATGGGTGCTCCTCGCGAAACGAAGCGAACGCAAGCAAGGACACGCTCGGCGTACCGTCGGTACAGAGCGTTTCCAGCACCCATCCGGAGCCCGCGGATGGCAGAGGTAATATCTTCGGTGGTCACAGGCCACAAATACACAACAAAATCACGTGCATGTTCCCTAAAGGACGTCCCCAACCTTAAACAAACACTTTGAAGCGCCGTGTAAGCCCTGAGGATGTCTTCACAGATCTTGGCTCGGGCATCGGCAACGTGGCTGTGCAGGTTTACGCGAACACGCCGATGAGAGCCCTGCCTGGCATTTGAGGCCCCTTTGGGGTTTAGCCCTCAACCTCCCTAAGGCTACGGCTTGGCAAGCCCTGGCACCCAAACCTCCCCCCAAACCCAAAGTCCCAAAACCCGAAACCCGGGCTGGCAAGCCCTGGCACCCTAAACCTTAACCCTTGAAGCCCACCCTGCCCCCAACAGCCATTGGAGTGCCGTCGGTATGTTTCTACCGGCCCCAGCAAAACCCCTGAAGCCCAAAAACCCGAAGCCATAAACCCTAAAACCCTTATTCTAAAGCGTTACGGGCAAATTGCTGTGGAGGGCTGCAGCTACTGGAAGCCAGGGGAGGTCATCCATCTTTCTTTGGGGGCACATTTCGTGGGGTTTTTGGGGGATGTGAGGATTTGCATGTCTTTGCTGTACTGCTCGACCCTGCGACCGTTTGGATTCCCACTGAGCAGCAGCATTCCGGCCAAGGGCGCGTTCGGGGAATCGAGTTCGTGAAGGAACGGCATAACGATGCGGTGAGGCACGCGGAGGAGTTCAAGCGCACGCACCAGGCTTCCCGGAGCAAGTCAAGCCTAAATACTGCTAAAGCTCGAAAGCACGAGCAGCCCTATACCTGGAAACACATAGTAATACTGCAATATTAAATTCCTATAGTACGTTTGCTTAATAAGATGCTTCATGTGATCATCTAATGTATTATAAGAACCAAATCTGTAAGCAACAACTGCGGATTAAGTTGTCAACGTATCGGGAGTTGGCCTCAGATCGACATGGAAATGTCTCCGTGAGTTGTTCTGCAGCAGAAGCGGGACACCCACACGTACAAATATGAAGAAAGCCGCCATCGTGCGCCATGTCCGTCCGGGCTGCTTCGGCCTGAGCTGGGTTTGTGGTGCCGAGAAGATCCAAAGCTAACCCTTGGCCCCCGGCCGTAACTCTGAGCCACATCCCACTGAGCGCGATCGAAGCAGTAGGTCGTCGAAAATTCGCGTCGAAGGTCTGTTTTTCGGGAATAGGGTCCTTAGCTGGGGTAGCAAGGTGGTCTCGGGCTTTTGAATCCGAGGTTGACAAGGACAAAGAGATCCTTCTGGTGAACGGCGACGTTTGCAAGGTGCCGGGCTGGTTTATGTTCAGGAGCTTAGGTTCTGGATTATGGGTGTTCATATGTGCTCATGATTCAGGGTAGGCTAGAGGTTATTGTTGCTTGCCCATTGTGAGGTTTAAGTGTGCTTTTCAGTTGAGGGCCATGTACTCTTTGGCGCGTCGTCTTTGGCTTGCTTCATGCTGTCTACATATCTACATGATTGGGCCTTCAATCGGGAATGACCTATGACCTCCTTGCGACCAAATGAACCCCTTAACATTGGGGGGGTCATCAACCCTCTACTACTCTGAGCCTTATGAGTGTATAAGCCCTAAAGCCTTTTAGGGTTTCTTTTTCCTCAACAAAGTCGCCTGTTTGAACGATGCGGGGTAGCCACTGCAATGGATGTACTTGGAAAAGAAGCCTTCTCCTCGTTCCCGGAGTTTCCCAGCACTAATATATACAATAATGTAGAATAATAACAGCCACAATAACGTAGCAATAGTAGCAACAATAATAAGGAATTTGCCAGAACAGAGGAAGACTGGTCTGATTCGACCATCGTCTTCTCCTCGTCCACTTGCTTCGACGACCGCGCGATGGAGCCATGCCTTCGAGGTCAATCTGTTGTTGGGGAAGCCATGCCCCAGCCCTTGCATGAGCTAAACCCTAAACCCTAAACCCTAAACCCTAAACCCTAAACCCTAGAAGAAGCAAAGAAGCGGCCAATCTGAGGAGTGTCTCCGGCGCAACTGCGAGGAGAACCCGAAGCTAAGGTCGCTGGGCTTTGGGCTTCGGAGAGCGAAGGACCCAAACTCTAATATGCACAGGGTTTAGGGTTTAGGGTTTAGGGTTTAGGGACGTATACAGCAAATTAGACAAATAGCAAGAATAGCAGTACTAACCAACAATAAGCATATCAATATTCAGACTAATGTAGTATCTCATGAGGTTTTCTACGAATACTAAGAAGAGTAGCTGCAGTAACAGTAGCAAGCAAATAAAAAATGTTCCGTTGTTTTGATTGCAGGAGGCCTTCAGGGACCTGACATTTAGAGCGCTTTGAAGTACTTCAGGGTTTAGGGTTTAGGGTTTAGGGTTTAGGGTTTAGGGTTTAGGGTTTAGGGCATGCTTTGCAGTTTGGCCGAGGGGGTGCTTCGGTACGGTTGCCCTTGCGGCGCACCTGAGCCGTGCTTACTGCACTCAAAATGTAGAGGGGCAACGCCATGCCATCTATGCGAACCCTGTAAGGCATATGCCTAAACCCTAAACCCTAAACCCTAGACCCTAAACCCTAAACCCTAAACCCTAAACCCTAAGCTGCAAGCCTCGAGGAGGCCCTAGAAAGTCGCAGGTACCTGGTGTCCTCGCGGGAACTCCCGCCAACAACGCTGCGACCGCTCGGGGAACCTTGGGCTTGGAATGAACATGCCGGTAGAGTTCTCGCACAGGGTTCAGGGTTCAGGGTTCAGGGTTTAGGGTTCAGGGTTTAGGGTTTAGGGTTCAGGGTTTAGGGTTTAGGGTTTAGGGTAAAGAGTTGAGGGTATGGGCTTAGGGTTTTTGAAGGAATTTTTCCGGTTTGTTGGGGACCTTAGAGCCGCCCTCAACGAATAAGCGAAGGTCCCCCGACATGTTAGCGTCTGCCATTGCGCCAACTGCCAACAGTTCACAGGTGTTCGAGAACCTCGACACCTCCTGGTCCATGAAGAGTGACGTCACCTACTGGGTGCACCCTGGGCTGCGTTTTGGTTCTTGCGTGGGGCTGGCCCTGGGGTCGTTCTGGACAGCCCTAAACCCTAAACCCTAAACCCTAAACCCTAAACCCTTTGTGATTGCTCTGAGATGGCTGGGCTTACGAGCTGAAGGGTTGCACCTTTGGGAGGCTGAGGGCGCTCTCGCACGATCTTCCACCTCGTTCAGCAAGGTTTAGGGTTTAGGGTTTAGGGTTTAGGGTTTAGGGTTTAGGGTTTAGGGTTTAGGGTTTAGGGTTTAGGGTTTAGGGTTTAGGGTTTACAAACGGCTGACGTCTTCCCCAAAGTATGTGACTTCAAGAATTTGGGTACTGCTCTCCCCACCCCCACCCCCGAGTCCGGCTCACAGTCGCTTCCCTTCCCGGGCTGTTTTTGCAAGCATTGTTTGGCGAGCTGAAACTCTCCGCTTACATGGTTTTTTTTTCAGGCTGTCGGTTACTTCGGGCTCCCTGAATGGTCCCGTGAGGCTGAGAAGGAGACCTGGAATCTAAAAAAGTCTTCAATCTCGAACCCGCGCCACGGCCGAGGTACAGCAACGTGCCAGGCGTGAAGCTGCGTGATGCCTAGGTTCGGGGTTAGCCTCTCGATGCCGAGAAAAAAGGCAAAGCATGCAAAGAAAAAGAACGCGCCGACCCAGCACAAGCGGCTAGGGGTCAAAGAGCTTGAGCCTAGTTCACGCCGAACTTCCCCTTAACATCCCTGAGCCCGAAGCCCCAGAAGCCGCATTCAACCATGAGAAGCCCTATTGAAAGCCGCTCAGACCTCCACAAGCCTCTTGCGACGACTTTCAACAGGCTCCGCTGCCCTTGGGCTCCGCACGCCTGACTGTAGGGTTTAGGGTTTAGGGTTTAGGGTTTAGGGTTTAGGGTTTAGGGTTTAGGGTTTAGGGTTTAAGGGTTTAGGGCCTTACACCTCCCAAGAGCCTTAATCGAGGCCAGTGAAGTTTCCGCCCCCCGAGTTTTGGAACTCGAAGCCCACAACTGGGCCGTGCCGAGGATGGAAAGGTCCGCACGGACATGTTCTACCCGGCCGGCTTCATGGACATGGCTCCTGGGCTTCGGATTAGGGGTTTAGGAGTTTAGGAGTTTAGGGTTTAGGGTTTAGGGGTTTAGGGTTTAGGGTCTCAACTTCTTAGGATTTGTTTGTGTGCGTGTGGGGGGCGGGCCGGGGGGAGGAAGGGTTGCACGGGGTTCCAGTGTAGGGGGTTTGGCAGGGTATTCCCTGCAACAGAACCCAAAAATCTGTCCTTTGGGTCATGTCGTCTCAGTCTATAAGGTTCAGATCGACAAGACCAAGGACGCGGAGATGTTCCTAAGTTGGGATGGTCTCCCTTGTACCAATAGTCCTGAATAGGGATTGTAAGAGGGGGTACTACCGCCCCTCTTCCACTATTTGCTTAAGAGAACCCCAAAAGAATAAAAATCAATAATCCCTAAATTACTATATTACCCTTCAGAAGGAAGAACATGTGTTTTTGCTTTTTCTGGGTTCTTAAGCAATTAATTAGTAGTATGAAGGACTGATAGTATAAGGGGGAACACCCCAATTCTTAAGCAGCATCGCCCTGATGGCTCCCAAGTGCCCAGAAGCACCAACACACTACTCAAGGAAGGAGCGCAAGCGTCGCTTTTGGGCACTGATCTACTGGTACCGGTTTCGTGCCATCAGGCACTCATCAGCCATACAGCTGCGATAAGCAGCTGTAGATCAGTAACGTCCTGGACATGTGTGCTGCTACTTTTTATGTGCATGCACATAAAAAGCCCACCCAGCCCTCACCCCGGCACGAAATTGTACCGGTATGTTTGCCGGAAAAGACTGAAAGAACATTTCCAAGCAACTGTCAACTTTGCCTCTGGCAACGTTGATTCTTCGAAAGCGTGAAAGCGCGCTAGTTTGGCTTTCAACTTGTTCCATGCGGTTTGAAGCCCAAGACGTTTGGCCTCTTCACTGTACTCAAGCTTGCATACGATAGGACTCACTGTAGGCATCGCATGCCCGTGGGAGCCTGATTTGAAGCATCTTGCTCGTAGCTTGTTCAGCAAACTTGTCCGGCGATCCACATCGTACTTGGCTTGGGAAAACCAAGATTCGGGATGTAACCTTTTTGCAAGCTGTTGGCGTAAAGAACTCACATCATCAAGAAAGCCACGTTCAGTGCTATTCAGCACCAGAAACCTTGCAACTTGGCTTCTGAAAATATGCTTCCGACAATGCAAAGGATGCTCACTGTATGCGTGCAGGTACTGTGGATTGTGGTGCGGCTTTTTGTGCACGAAGGTGTGCAGCTGCCTCCCATCAAATCGGATGGAAAGATCCAAGAAGTCAAGTTGAGACCGTGAAATGCTGAAAGTCCACGAAAATTGAACAGGATCAACATTCTGAAGAGCCGTCAAGAAAGCTTGGGTAGACTCCAAACTTCCGCGAAAAATGCTGGCGGTGTCATCGACATATCCATAATATTTGCAAAGCAACCCGGTTTGGAAAGCTTCGCGCACAAGAGGTCCGAAATGATGCTCACGGTGTATGTTGGCAGCATCAGTAGCAATGCGTTCACCAATGCTCAATGACCTAGCCTTGCGATAAAGGCTGCCATTGATCAGAACCGCTTTGTTATGCAAAATGATGAAGACTAATTTGGCAACGAAGTTCTTGGCAGCCTCATTTACGCCATAATAGGCATCCAATCCAGAACGAAGTGATACCTGGAGAGAGTCCAGATTGATGCGTGGGTAAAAGTCCTGCAAGTCGGCAGCTACGAAAACCACAGAGTTGGGCTCGAGTGAAAGAGGAGGAGGCTGATCTAAGAGGTCCAATAGTACTTGCTTGGAATCCAGCACAGTTGTTTGGCAAACTGTAACGACTTGCCGCAAAATGCTGGAAACAAATAAAGTCAAGTTGTTGAACGGGGATCTTGTATCAACTTCCACTCGCCGCAACTTACATCCAGGTTTGTGCAGTTTGACGAGGTATCGGATTTTCCCAACACAGGACAAAACGTCAGGCAATACATCTTTGCGAGGATTTGGAAACCCGAGCTCACGCAAAGGCTGTAGAATGAAGCGCATGGTGCCAACATCAATCAAACGATTCTGTATTGCACTGTCGCAAATCGCCTGCAACTGATCATATGCTGCAATTAATGACCACATGAGCTGACTGCTTGAAATCTTTGTAAAGGCACCGTCAGCGGTTTCACGCAGGTATTGCTCGCGAAGACGACCTGTTGAAATGTATGCCGGGCCATACCCTTTGTCGGCGGGTATCTTGCAAACAAAATGCCTGTTTTCTTTAAGCCATACCAAGGCTTTCTGTATGAAAAAGGGAGTTGTTGGCTTCGGCTGCAGATGCATCAATCTGCAAGCTTTGGACAACAAGCCCTCAGACCATGACTCTAACTCTTGTTCGATCTCTGCATCGAGCTTCGGGATGAAGCGTGATGGTAGTCGAAAACTCTTGAAGAAAGTGTCTTGATTCTTCTGCTTCTTGGGTCTGTTGTCAAAGAACAGTCGCAACTTCACTTTGCGCACGAGGTCTTGTAGAGAATCTCGTAGCGAGTGACGACTGCATTGCGCCATGGGAATGAATTTGTCCCCGAGGATGAGCAATGTCTGTGCTGCTGGAGGAAAAGTCTCTGGATCCACATCTGTCTGGTGTAGGGAAATGAACTTTCGAATCAAAACCAAATCAACCAAGGTCAGCTGCTGTACATACTCGAAGAAGAGCGCTGTAAGGTTGCGGGGTGATTCGTGCTGTACATGGGTCGTAGACTTGCACTGGTGTCCGCGGCGTTTGTTGCCAAAATGGCAACGGCGGAGATTACGAATGTTCATGTAAAGGTCGCGCGGCTTGTTTTGCTTCGGCTGCTGCATCTGCTGCCCTGCTTGGAACGATTGCTCTTGCTGCGGGAGGTGTTGCGGCTGAAGCTCCTCTGTTGGCTGGTCATAGATCTCACGGAACTTTGCGACTGCCTTGATCTTGAGCTTCGGTTGGCGGAAGCTTGCTGCTGCGCGCTGGATCGCCCTCTCGTAGAAGATGTCCTTGCGCTTCGCTGCGATGTTTTCGAAGTTTGAGATTTGGTTCTCGTTGCTTTTTGCCGGTTCTGCGCCGAAGTGGACATGTCGCGTTGCTGATTGTTCTTGCTGTGGCTTCTGTCTGCTTTGCTTGCACTGCGCGCACGGCCGCGCGTCTTGTTTTTGCTTTGGTGCGTTGAGCTGTTGCTTCGACGACGGCTGCTGCTTTGCACGCCTGTTTGCATGCCTCTTGAACCAGAGCCAACCTTGTTGCCCTTCACCTTGGACTTGCTCTGCTGGAATATTTGGGTCATCCGTGAGTCCAGGTGGGCAAAGCCGTTTTTTTGCAAATCGGCCTTCATGTTGTAGACGTGGTCCTCGAGAGTCGTCAATTGTTGCCCACGTCTAACTCGACGATATTCTTGTTCCATTTGTTCTTTCCTGGCAAGGCAGACAGAAATCAAACGCTCTTCCATTTCGCGAAAGAAAACGGCTAATGCAACCTTGGGGTACATCTGAAGAAGCTCATCGAATTTCTGCTCACGGTCCAACCGCTTCTTGTCTGAATCTGCTTTGTCTTTGCTTCGGTCCGCATACTTCTTGGCAGCCTTGTGCATGTGCTCCGGCAACTGGGCATGAAGAACGCAGACTACGTGGGCTCTCATCTTCTGCATGTCATTCTTGTCTACGCGCATCTGGTTCTCAAGCAACTTGTCGTAGAGCTCGCCAAGCTTTGTGGAAATGAAATTCATTGTGTCCAGATCCTTAGCCTTCAAGGAAACCCACTGCTTCGAGGCTTCAATTTTGCGCTTGAAATCTTCCATAGCTTTTTGGTCATCTGCCTTCTTTTGGGCCACATCGAACTCTCTTCTTTCATTTCTTTCTTGAACTGCTGACCTGATTTGTGCTGCAGCGGTCGCGGCCATTTGCCTTGAGCGTACAGCGCAGCATCAAGCTTGAGTGTATGAAGAGCTTTGTGCAAAGCATCGCACTCTCCATGATAGACCTTGATGGCTCGCTCAATGAAATCAGGCACTAGCTCCTTAAAGCTGCCACTGCTGATGAAATCATCTTGTCGCACCATCAAGTTGACGAGGTCAACAGGCACGTCGGTGAACTCAACTTTCGTCAGAGGCAGCATCGGTTCTAGACTCAAGGAGCTAATCAACCTGTTGATATCAGCCAGCAAAGGGTCCATCTCAACATCTTGTGCAACAGGCGCAGCAGGTAGCTGGTTCTGAAGGGCCGGGACGGGCGCATTCACTACTGCTTGTGGTGGTTGCTGGACATGTTGCATATCCGGATTTGGATACGGACTTGAACGAGGCAATGGGGATGCACGTCTAAATGATCGACCACGGTCACCTGGTACTGATGATGCACCATGAGCAAACCACGCATTTGCTCCACCTTGATTCCCCAATGCGGTACGCGCACCTCCCGAAACGTTCCCCAATGCTGGGACAGCATCCTGGGGAAGGCCAGTTGTGCCAGACAAGAAAGCCATGGCACGACTACAATGTGCGCGAACACACTACTCAAGGAAGGAGCGCAAGCGTCGCTTTTGGGCACTGATCTACTGGTACCGGTTTCGTGCCATCAGGCACTCATCAGCCATACAGCTGCGATAAGCAGCTGTAGATCAGTAACGTCCTGGACATGTGTGCTGCTACTTTTTATGTGCATGCACATAAAAAGCAGCAGCACACAGAACCTTCGACTCCAAGCTTAGGGTTTTAGGGTTTTGGGGTTTTGGGGTTTTGGGGTTTAGGGTTTTGGGGTTTAGGGGTTTAGGGTTGAGGGTTTTAGGGTTTAGGGTTTAGGGTTTAGGGTTTTGGGTTTAGGGTTTTGGGTTTAGGGTTTAGGGCTCTTGGCATGATTTTCACCCTTTGCAGAATTCCCTTGAGGGCATTTATTCTGAATCTATCCTCGGAGTTGACTTTTCAACTTTTCAAGACGTGGCATGAAAGGAGCTTGGGGCGATAGAGCTGCCTTCATCACTTTTAGTGCAAGAGATGGTTCATGATGCTTCGGGGCAGGCGCACAGCCAACACCCTCGCATTCTCAACTTCCAAGGCGCAGCACGAAGCCCTAAACAGGCTACTCCGGGCGCCTGAACACCCAAAAAACTTGCCCGGAATCCAAAGCCGCGAACACCGCACACGCCCCTCGATCGAACTTGAGAATCAGAGGCATCATGAGAAGTTGCAGCGGCAATCCTAAGCCCTAAACCCTAAACCCTAAACCCTAAGCCCTTAATTAACCCCAGAGAAGCTGCACCGGACCCCTCCGGCGACAGGAGAACTTCCGCTTGCTCTACAACACCAAGGGCCGCTTTAATCTCCACAAGGCCGGCCTTGGGTTTAGGGTTCATAGGGCTCATTAAATGGCTAGTCTTAAGATCAGGGTTCCTAATTCCTAAACCCTAATCCCTAAACCCTAAACGTAGGGCTTGTGAATCTTCGTTCTATTCAGTCACTTGGCCCAGGTGGCCAAGGAGGAGGCCGCCTACAAGCTGTGCCGCGTCAAGCGGGTGACCCGAGGCCCGGAGAAGAACCGTGGGAGAAGGCATCCAAAAAGCTAGGGTTTAGGGTTTAGGGTTTATACTAGCAGTCCTTCATAGGATTATATTGGCGAGTACTATAATCCATATATGGGGAACATCCCAAGTTTAGGGTTTATATAGGGTGTATGTAGGGTTAACAACAAGTTGAGTCAAATAAACACATACCAGACATGAAAACAAAAAGTATTCAGGAAATGGTGTAAATAACAGATTCTGTATGTTGCAGAAGTTTGGAACCTACGCGCTGTCAGAAATGCTGTATTTGGCAGCAATTGGAGCCTCTCCTAGAGAATCTACCTTGAAATCATGATTTTTCTTGAGTTGCATTTTAAGCCATAGTTTCAATGGATGTGCCTTCTTCGCAGCCCAATTTCAAGCCATGGTTTTACCTTGAAGCCATGATTTTACCAGGTCGGAGCCCACCGTGATTTTGTCGCATTCGTGAACAGTCAGAAACACTGTATTTTGCAACATTCGGAGCTGGTGAACCGTCGGAACTGTTGTAATTTACAGCACGTGGAACCTGGGCTAGAAACCCACTGCAGTTTAGACTAGTTGGACTCTGCCATGTTTTTGGTTTGATTCTTGTTAATTTACTGATCCCAATAGTTTCCTTTTCTTTTGGCGTGACATTTTTTGATGCTCGACGCTGCCATTGGTGATCTTTGGGCCATAAGATTTCGGGGGTTTGGGTTTAGGGTCATGGATTGGGATGTTCCCCCTTATACTAAAAGTCCTTAACAGTAGTAATAATGGTAATAACAGTTATATTAGTGTCAATAGTACTAGTCTTAGGAATAATTACAACAAATAATAACACTAGTAACAATAGGAAGAATAGCAATAGTAGTGGTAGTAGTAGTAGTAGTAGTAGTAGAAGTAGAAGTAGAAGTAGAAGTAGTAGTAGTAGTAGTAGTAGTAGTAGTAGTAGTCGTAGTCGTAGTCGTAGTCGTCGTAGTAGTAGTAGTAGTAGTAGTAGTAGTAGTAGTAGTAGTAGTAGCAGCAGCAGCAGGAGTAGTAGTAGTAGTAGTAGTAGTAGTAGTAGTAGCAGCAGCAGTAGTAGTGGTGGAAGCGGCTGTGCTTGTGAGATAGAGACATGTCCCCTCGCTTCGTGCGTTGTGTAGGTTGCATTTCAGTTTTTCCATTGTTTATTCGAAGCTTAATTCCCAGATTTGTGTTCTCCGATCTGAAGCTTCGTAAATCCTGGACGATCACTTGTAATCTTTTGTTGAAATAGTATTAACCCAAATGGAAGCCGCGGGCCGTAATCCGAGCTTGGGCATCCCCCTAGACAAACTGAATAATAGTTTGTCAGATATTTCGAAAAAAGTTGAGTAGCAGGCGCAGCCACTCCTGGAAATGATCGCGCATAGATCCGTGGTAGCTTGAACTGTCAGCTGAGTCTTTGTTTTACCCGTGACCCACAATGATAATCCCAATCAAGGACTGCTGAACATCCCAAATGATTGACAGAGGGCGCGAGAAGACTTGTTGACAAGGACAAGGGCCCACCTTGGGAGGCATGGACTTCGTTTGATTGTAAACTGCATGCACCCCAAGATTGCGAAGCTGTGGTGAGGGCTTACTACTATTCGTTTATAAGAGCCCCCCAAACATGAGATAATGATCCCTACATTGCCCTTATAAGGAAATCATTTATTTTTTATTTTTTTTTTGGGGGGGGGGGGGGGGGGTGGTCTTAAGAAATTTGTAGTTTAGGGGGAAGCAAGTCCGGATTTTTTAAGTGTACAACACCATCCGATTTTGATCTTCATGGGGTGATCCTTGGATTTCTGGTCGCAACAGCGAGAAATGAGCTGTTGCCCTTAAACAGTCCAGACTCTCTTGGAAATGCTCAGCAGTGACTGGGGGCAACTACAAGATGTCATGGCCTCTATCCAAAGAGATGTCTCAGCATCCCACAGTATCGTTGGAGGTGGCAGGCCACAAGCGGAAAGCAACCAGGCCTAGAGAGAAGAACGCTCTATGGCTTTCATATTGGAGTGCGAGTGGCTTCAGGGAGACAAAACACCGCCGATCTCTTTTGGAGCTGCTAGTAAGTTAGGTTTTTTCGGACTCAGCCCCAACAACACCCCCTGCACTCTAAACAGAGCATATTCGCATCAGGCCCCCGCGGCGTTCCATACGCCGTGACGCACGACGGCCGCACGATCCGGTACCCGGATCCGGACATCAAGGCAACTTGGCTGCAGCAGCGCCCTTGCTCAACCCGAGTTAACCCTCAACCCTAAACTTTTAAACCCGTAATCTCTATAGTCGAAACGAGCCACATGAAGAAAGATCTGTAAGGCTGCGAGCACCGAGTTTCCTTTGTCTTGCTACTTCCGCTTTGGTGCTCTCTAGAGCATGGCCTGCATTCGCACTCCAAAGTCAAGCGAGAAAACCTGGTTTAGGGTCGTTGGAGGGGTCAGGCTTGCTAAGCTGAACCGAAAATGAACCCCACTTAGGGTTTAGGGTTGAGGGTTGAGGGTTGAGGGTTTAAGGTTCCATTTGTGTCTTAGAGGCTCCCGGGCCACACGCCACAGCCTCACAGCGGGGATCCGGGCTTTTGGCCCTAAACACTAAACCTTAAACCCTAAACCTTAAACCCTAAGCCCTAGAAATTCTGGCTCGCCAAGGCTCACGACACCGTCCGGCGCTGCACTGAGCTGCATGAGCCACCCAAAGCCATAAACCAAAGTCCTCAGGTTTAGGGTTTAGGGTTTAGGGTTTATGGCTTAGGGTTTAGGGCTCAGGGTTCAGGGTTTAGGGTTTAGGGTTTAGGGCTTAGGTGGACCTGACACCCCCTAAAGCCTAAACCCAAGCACTTAAAACTGTGAGATGTTTCCAGACAGCCCTGCTTCGCCGATTGTGATCTCAAGATGAGCCGCACATTATCCACCCCTAAAGCGCTGAAACGCCTGAAGCCCTTGAGTCTTTGGGGTTGAGGGTTTAGGGTTTAGGGTTTAGGGTTTAGGGTTGAGTTCTTTTTCACATTTAGCCTAATTGGGGGGGGGGGGGGGTTACCATAAAAAGGGACCCTTAAAGTAGACCCCGGACCCCAATAAGGTACCCCTTAAAATCGTAAACCCCCCTATATCCCCGAACCAGGAACCCTAAACCCTAAACCCCAAACCCCATATCCCCGAACCAGGCTGGACCTGGAGACCGGAAAGATCCTGGACCACGTGAAGTTCGAGGTTGGCAACATGGCGACCCGGCGGAAGGTTTGGGAGTTTACTGGGTTGGCTTTTGGGCTAGTTTAATGGACTTTCCTCCTTTGGGCTTATAAGGGACACATTTCTCAAAGGGTTTTAATGCCAACCCAGTTTAGAGATTCAAAAAGGTGTAGGGGCCTAGTGTTCGGAATTTACAGGTGCAGGGCTCAGGAAGCGAGAGAGTCAGGTACCTGTTGAAGAGAGCTTATCGGGGCCACTGGTTCCCTAAACCCTAAACCCAAAACCCTAAACCCTAAACCCCAAAACCTATGGGACGGTACCCACCTGCAGTTGGACTTGAGTCTTGTGCCTTCCCGCCCCATGAGGTGATGATCAGCGGCGGAAACAACATTGGTGGCTGCCTGAGTGAAAAGACGACCGGCTTTTGCGCAAGGTTGAGGGATCTTGGGCTTCGGTCTCAGAAGGTTTTTACAGGGTCTAGGGCCTTCAGGGGCTTCGGGAGACCAGCATCGCCTAGCATCAGGAACTGCTGCACGTAATTCGCATTGAGGTTGGAGCATCTGAGCGCCATAAAGCCCTTGGGGCAGGGATTCCCTGAAGGACTTTGGCCCAGGATCCCTAGGGCAGCCTGCTTCAAGCTCGATGCTACGGCGCCAGGGCGAGTCGGAACCATCACACACCGTGAGAAGCACCCGGGCTCCTTCGAGATTGTGCACATCAAGGACTGGACAGGGCTTGTTTTTGTTGGCATCGTGCGGGAGAGGTGACATGGCTAGAGTTTCGGATGCCATCATAAGAGCCCCTCTGTACACCCTCGGCCATGCATTGTGGGGGGGGGGGGGGCTGTTTCAACGAAGTTGCGAGCAGATGAGGCGCACCAGGCCCATCCAAGCGCTGCAGCTCAGACTCTGAGATGCTTTCGGGTTTCGGGCTTGGGATTCGGGCCCTCGGGAATTCAAGCAGCTCCACGAGCTACTTCCCACCCTAGACCCTATAAACCCGAAACCCTAAACCCTAAACCGTCCCTAAACCCGAAACCCTAAACCCGAAACCCTAAACCCTATAAGAAGCAATGCCTCCCTGGAGAAGGACGCTGCTGGCCACAGCTTCAACACGCGCCTGGAGAACGTCTTTCTCATCGGCTCGGGCAACAAGCCGTGGATCTCCCTGCCAAAGGCCGTTTAGGGTTTAGGGGTTTAGGGGTTTAGGGTTTGGGGTTTGGGGTTTAGGGTTTAGGGTTTGGGGTTTGGGGTTTAGGGTTTAGGGCTAGATTCTCAGGTTCCTCGGGCTCCACATCCTCTTTGAAGTCGATTGAAACCATTGTTTGTTCCCATGCCAGGCGCCTGCATTTCAGCACGCTGCAGTCTGTTCTCGGGCCTCTGGGGCACTAACCCCGCCCCCCCCACAAAATCAGAGCACAACAAGAACTCTGTTAACCTGTCAGGGCAACGGCATCAAGCTCAGCATTGTGGAAGACCGCGGCCAGCGCATGAGCATCCCGACTTCATCATGGGAGGTAGGTTTTGGGCTGGTCCTTGGGACAGTTTGGGATCGCTGGCAAGGCAAAGTTGGCAGAAATCTGGAAGAGGGGGAGGGGGGGGGGTGAACTGTGCAATCCCCACAAGCCTCAGAAGCTCCAGAAGCTCTACCGAACGCCACCCTGGATCTCCACAAGCCCAGTCAACCCCCCATCAACCCCCCGGCAGCCACGTTGTGCGTAGCCTTGGCCGCCTGAGGCAAGTGAGAAGTCAACTTCGGAGTGAGAGCGAAAATGGACTAGGATCGGGTTCAGGGCCAAGTTTGGGGTTTTGGGTTTAGAGCTTCACCCTAGAGGACTTGCAGGTGGTGGACTGGCTACATCTGGAAGTAAGTTGCGCAATCCGTGGAGGGTTACGAAGGGAGGAGTAGTAGCTACACTAGAGACATCCATGCGCATTCAGGCTTGCACCAATATCCAACACCCGACGTGCGCCTGCAATCCAAGCCCATGCACATCGACCCATAAAGCCCTAAGCAGCGAGCACAAGAAGAAGCCGAGTGGAGTCGCGGGAGGGACCGGAAAAGTCGCCTTGCCGGGTCTCTTCCTACACCACCCAGGAGCAGTCCTACACACAGAATGTCACCCGCAAGTGCTCAGGGACTAAGATCATGCCTCCGTCCACCCTCGAACCACTGCACCCACTTCACATCCCTGAAACCCCTGAGCCGTGAACCCGAAATCCTCAAGCAGAAGTTCGCAAGCATTTGCCTCGTCGGGGTTCGATTTCTTCTCTTGGCCCGACAGCCCGAGCAGAAGATGTTTAGTGCCCTGAAAATGTGCATTCTACCTGGCCTGTTCTCGAGCTATTTGGAGTGTAGGACTGTGTTGCACCGGATTGAGATGCAGTCTGGGATCTCACTCTGCTCAATGGACATCTTGCGTGTGAAAGGGGAGGTCGGGCTAGACTTGAGAGAACAGCTGGGCTCTGAATAGCTTGCCTAGACACCGTAAACCGAGAAACCCAACCCTACATGTTGAGCCCTGAGCCGTAGAGATGTTTGAAAAACTGCAGCCCTCAAGCTCAAAGCCTCGAGGTTACATAGGGTTTAGAGCTTTGCCCTTACAGTGCAATTCCACAGTCGATGTTGAGTTTTGTGCCGATTTGTGCCAAACCTGCTGCCACTCACATGAAGGCTCTCAAGTAGGGTTTTTCGGCGCACGGTGCAAAGGCAAGGATTGGCTCAGCAGAACTACATACCGACATGCCCTAAACCCTAAACCCTAAACCCTAAACCCTAAACCCTAAACCCTAAACCCTAAACCCTAAACCCTAAACCCTAAACCCTAAACCCTAAACCCATACCGACATGGGGTATTCAGGGACCATGCCCGCAGCACCTGTGCCCGCCCCTGCGCATCTTCGTCAAGGACTGGAGGAGGCCGGGACCCTCGCGGGGTTTAGGGTTTAGGGTTTAGGGTTTAGGGTTTAGGGTTTAGGGTTTAGGGTTTAGGGTTAGGGTTTAGGGTTTTGATGCCACAACAATCCACAATGTCAGCACCGTCGCGCAACTACGTCACGAATGCAAGGACACGGCATCATTGGGGTCTAGGTCGTCTCCTAACCTGACATGCCGGTGCCTGACTGCATGGAACATCATGTTCCTAACTTCTCTCGGGTTCGTGCTCCGGGAGCCACTGGTTTGCGCTCACAGCCTCACGCTGATGAATCTTATGAAAGTGGTGGTCTTCGTGGCCCACTGCTTCAAAACACTGTCAGCTTTCTCCAACCCTTCCCAGGATCCATCTGGGCAGAGGGGCCCGGAGTGGGTTGTTCCAAATGAAAGTCCTTCTGCAGGCAAGGTTCCTTTCGGGAGGATCTCAAAACACGGACTTTGATTTTGAGCAATCCCCATGCAGGGGCAGGAACCCCCATGTAGGATGTAGATCAATGTTTATCTTGACAGACTTTCGTGAGGACGGGGGGTTGCCCTATGGGAGGGAGGTGAGGGGGGGGAGGGGGAGGAACTCTAAAACCTGAACCCTAACCCTAAACCCTAAACCCTAAACCCTAAACCCTAAACAACCCAGAGTTTTGGGTTGTTTGGGGGTTTAGGGCCTTCAGGGCCACTTTACTCTGGCTTGGGGTTGTCAGGGCTGATCTTTCTCGTCTTTTGGGGCGGCTTTAAGGTTTAGGGTTTGGGGTTTAGGGTTTAGGGTTTAGGGTTTAGGGTTTAGAGGCTCTAGGGGTGGAAGTTGAAACTCAAACCCTCAGGGCCATGAATTCCCCATCGTCCCAGGCCTCAGGCATCCATCCCGGAAGGCTTAAAACCCTAAACCCCCAGCCCTTAAGGACTAAATTCAAGGGCTTATGGTTCAGAAACTTCAATAGGGATTCTCGTAGTATAGGCTACAGTATAATTCTGACCCCAATTTTGGGGGTTGATTTGGTCCTTCAGGTAAGCCTGGTTTCGAAGGGCTATGGCAATCACCACTGCCATCCCATGCACGGGGCCTAGAAAAGCTTTACAGCGCACCTGTAGGGTCTAGGGTTTAGGGTTTAGGATTTAAGGTTCAGAGCATCAACAGCGCAAGTAGTGAGCTCGCATCCCCCAATCTCCTGGGTCTAGTTGTAGACATCCACACGGAGCCCCATGACATCTTAGAGTCCTAGAGTATCCTACAGATCTGAACCGAGCGCCAGATGATTGCTGCCAGGTTTGTGATGTGGGTTTGAACCCAAAATTGAAAACCTCCCTACCATCCGAGCCTTGCCGTTCATGCCATTCCCAAGGCCTTGAGGGGAAGCATGGCATGCTTGCGCAAAAAGAGAGCCCCTCTCTCCTGCCAGGTCTGCCACTTCAATGCATTTGCGCTTTCAAGGCTGGGTGCTCTGAGGGAAGCGTGGCCGAGAGCATATGTGGGGAGGGGTGGCAGTGAGAAGGCGTGTGGATGATCAGCTGCACACATGTTATTGCAGCGCCCAGGGCTCGTTGGCATGAGACGCTTCCGCAGCCTTTGCGAGTCTCAAAGAAGCCGCAGAGGGAACAAATGGGGATGGCCACAAGGATTCTTTATTAGGATCCGCCTCACAATGCTGCATGTCTGCCAGCTTTCGGGCCAGCTCCTGGCCACGATGGCCCAAGATGAGATCCAGAGCGTGCAGGCCTTGCGACGAAGTCTTCAGGCCAAGTGCGGCGTGCCGCGGTTCAGGCAGAAGCTTCTAAGGGAGGATGGCACCGCACTGGAGGACGGGGACAGTTTGCAGGCGACCTACTTGACCTACTTGCAGCTTGTAGTGCTACCACTTCCCAGGGAGGCATCTCCAGAGGACGCGGAGGATCTGGCGAAGGCGGCAGAGGATGGATCCCTGCGTCAGCTGGAGGACATGCTCCGGAAGCCCTTAGATCCAGATCTCATGTTTGCTGGCAAGACGTCCCTGAGCCTCGCAGCATGCAAAGGGCACCTGGATGTGGCGCGCTTGCTTCTGGAGGCGGGAGCGGACAAGGACAAAGTGACAGACGGCGGATGGATCCGCACCACTGCCCTTGGCCTTGCAGCCGGCGAAGGCCACGTGGACGTGGTATGTTTGCTGCTGCAGGCCAGGGCGGACTGCAACAAAGTTGAGGTCACCACCAGTGTAGTCACAAGTGCAACACCTCTTGGTCTGGCTTCGATGAAGGGCCACATGAAGATCATCCACCTGCTCTTGGACGCTGGTGCTGACAAGGAAGTGGTGTCGAAGGTGCGGCAAACACATGCAACGCCCCTGGGTCTCGCCGCCAGTACCGGTCAGTTGGAAGTTGTCCATCTGCTACTCGAATCACTCGAAGGGCAAGCGAGTCAAGCAGATCAGGATGGTGGTGAAGGCGAGGCACCCCTTGCCTTGGCTGCGGGTAAGGGCCATGGAAGCATCGTGCGCCGGTTGCTGGAGGCCAAAGCCGACAAGGACAAAGGATCCAACGGCGACTGGTTCCGTGCGACAGCCTTGGGCTTCGCGTCCGCCGAGGGGCACCTGGACATCATGCGCCTGCTGATAGAGGCACAGGCCGACAAGGACAAGGTCGAACTTTCTGAACAACCTGGGCAGAAATCAAAGAGATCCGCAACCCCTTTGGCCCTGGCGGCCTTTGAAGGCCGCATGGACGTTCTTCAATTGCTGCTAAATGCTGGTGCGGACAAGAATGTGGCTTCCAGGGTTGGTCGCAGTGAGGCAAGCCCCTTGGGCTTTGCATGCGTCCGAGGCCAGCTATCAATCGTGCAGTTACTCCTAGACCTCGGGGCCGAGAAGGATGGAGTCCAGGGAGCAGCACCTCTAGTGTTGGCATCGGGTCGCGGCCATGTGGCAATTGTCAATTTGCTTCTGACCGCCAATGTCAAGCTGGAGCAGACTGCCAGCGTAGGGGGTGTGAAGATGACAGCCTTGGGCTATGCTGCCCAAGAAGGCCATCAAGAAGCACTTCGACAGCTGCTTGCGGCCGGCTGCAACGTGGATGGAGAGAACGGGGGCTGTGCACCGCTCAGCTTGGCATCCGGCGCGGACAACACGGCCATCGTGCAGCTTCTCTTAGAGGCAAAGGCAGACAAGGACAAGCTTTCCTACTATGGCACCTCGTATGTCACACCGCTTGGCGCGGCAGCTCTCCATGGGCAGCTGGCCACCGTGCGCTTGCTGCTGGGGGCTGGGGCAGACAAAGATGGTAGAAACGGTCGAGCTCCCCTGACTTTGGCAGCCAGCAGGGACCACATGCATGTTGTCCGCACGCTGCTGGATGCCAATGCCGACAAGGACAAGATTTCTGACATTGCCGACGGTCTTCAGTTGACGCCTCTTGCCTCGGCATGCCATCATGGCCATACGCAAGTCGCACGCTTGCTGCTAGAGGTGGGTGCCGACAAGGATGGAACAGGCGGTGCGGCACCTTTGGCTTTGGCTTCCAGCGGTGGCCATGTGCACATCGTAAGCCTCTTGTTGCAGGAAGGCGCCGACAAGAACAATGTCGTCTCGAGCGGCAAGTGGCACCACACCACAGCTCTTGGCTTTGCATCCATGGCAGGCCACACGAAAGTTGCCCAGCTGCTCTTGGAGAGCGGTGTCACTGTCGACGGAGATGGGACATGGACATCACCACTGGCCGGGGCAGCTTTTAAGGGCCATTTGGACATGGTCCGGATGCTGCTGGAGGCAGGGCAGAGAAGGATCAGATCACGCGTCTCGGAGGCTTCCTCACAACGCCTCTTGGCTTGGCATCCCAGGGTGGCCACGAAGACGTTGTTCGCTTCTTGCTGGCCGACCGGGCTGATGTGAACTTGGTGGGCGAATCTTCTTTTCGCCTGATGGCCACCCCTCTCGCCCTGGCATCCCGAAGTGGCCACACAGAGGTTGCGCGTTTGCTTCTGGAGTCTCGTGCGGACATGGACAAGGAATGGAGTTTGGGCGGCGTCTTTGTCCGAACGCCCCTGGCTTTAGCATGCGAGGAGGGCAAAGGGGAGATAATTCAGCTCTTGCTGGAATCGCGGGCTGACAAGGACAGGGGCGCATTGGGCTTCGGCTTTCAGATCGCTACACCTCTGGCTTTGGCCTGCATGAACGACCGCGCAGACGCTGTCAAGCAACTCCTGAAGTCTGGTGCTGACAAGGAGATGCTAACGTATTTCCCGATTTGGTTCCCCAGAACGCCCCTCAGCATCGCAGTCATGTTCGGCCACAGCGAGATTGAACGGCTGCTTTTGGAGGGTGGCGCTCGTCCTAAAGAGCAGACCTTTGGCAAGTCCGCACAGAGTCTTCTTCCCTGCTGCTGCAGACGAGACTGACCACAGTGACCTGAGTCTGACAAGCATCTTGAGGAGGAGCCATCGGCTTGAAAAACCGGTTGTCCTCGACTACAGCTCCCACATGGGGGGTTCCCGAAAATGGGGGGTGTACCGTTTTGGGGGTTCCTAGAAAAAAATTATACTATTTTTTTTTTGGGGGGGGGGGGGGTAAAATTCTGGGTACCCCCTACTTGGGGAAATACCCACATGGGTGCAGAGTAGAAGAGCTGCTGGCTGGGCGATCCAAAAGTCTGAATAGCTTACTTTTGGTTAGTAGCGAATGAGGGAATGAGGTACCCTGTATAATCCCTTAAAGGGTATATATAGGGGGATTTCGGGTACTTCATTCCAACGTTCCCTAACCAACAGTAAGTTACCGGCGGTCTCAAGGAAGACGCTTCGAATCTGATATCAGCTCAACCCGTTCATAATTCTCATCTGCGTCCGGCAGTTTTGTCCCTTTTTTTGCCGTTCGGCCATCGTTTCCTGGTGTTGTTACTGTGTATGCAAAAGCTGGGAATCACCACTCAACATTTTCATGTAAGAAGCCGTCCGAGCATGTGTGCAGTAGTTGGGAGGTCTTCATCAGCAAGGGTGTTTGGAACTAGGCGTTCCAAACATGCTCTACTTGGAGGTTCAGGGTACTTCTAACCGAACCCTAATTATAAACTGTACTTATAAGTACCCAGGAACCTCCAAGTAGTTGCTTTGTTCATGCCGAAAGGGCGTTGGGAGGGGACGGGGGCAATCCAAGCAAAAGGACCACTATGTGGAGGGCGATAGGAGGAGCGGAGAGTAGTGAAAGCCTCCGAGTATGAACCCTGAACCCTATAAACCCTATGAACCCTATGAACCCCATGAAACCTGTGAACCCTGTAAACCCTGCAAACCCAACAAACCCTGTAAACCCTGTAAACCCTATAATCCCTATGAACCCTATAAACCCTATAAACCCTGAACCCTAAACCATGCCAGGCTAGTCTTCCATGTCCATACTTGTGGCAGCATGTCATGTGTCAGTCCAATACCTAAACCCAAATTTTTGGGGTTTAGGGTTTAGGGTTTAGGGTAACCCTTGTAGCCCGGAAACCTGACGAGTTGCGAGGATCTCAATCAAGGGTTGCGCGTTTAGGGACTCTGGGTCGAAAGGGCTTCAACCCTACCCTAAACGCTAACACCTAAACCTCCTGTAGGGTATTGGCCCCAGGCTCCCCTACCACCGATCTCGATGAGGCCACTTGAACGGTCAAGGCATGCGGGAGTTCAGCCGGCGGGGGCTTTTCGTGCTTCTCAGTTCTAGGAAAGTTCGGGTCTTGGATTCATGATCGGGCTTTTTAGGGGTTTGTTAGGGTTTTTGAGGGGTTTTGTTGGGATTTTTTGCGTTTCGGGTTTAGGCAGAGTGGTTCTGGGTGGTGCATTTGAGGGGTCCGGGTTGAACTGGGAGAAGGGCCCGCGAGCTTGACACATCGGCAATGCCCTTTAAGCAGCAGGCTAAACGCCAACACCTGCACCCAAAGCCCTGTAAACCCAAGATAGCTGCTCCAACCCCCCCCCCCCCCCCCCCGCCCCCACCAAAAACACACACACACACACACAAACAAACAAACAAACAAAAAAAAAACAACAAGAACAAAAACAAAGAGAGAAAACCCTAAAGAACAGACCCTGGCAACTCCCCAACCCCAAACATGATATTAGACAATACACATCAGTCGATCGTTGCGAAGCCTAAGCCTTGAGTCCCAAACCCAGAAACCCCAGAAACCCCAAGTACCTCAAAGCCCAAAGCCCTCGAAACGAAACTTAAAACCCTCTAACTTCAAGCCCTCGAGGCTCGAGCGCAAAGTAGGGTTTAGAGTTTAGGGTTTAGGGTTGAGGGTTTTAGGGTTAAGCCCCATACCCTAAAAGGTCCTAAGCGCCAAGCCCTAGAGCCTAGAGGGCTTCGACGCACCTGCTTGGAAGAGGCCTCTTACAGTAGGCAGAGAGGCTGAAGCCCCTAAGCATCCTAAGCCCTCTTTACGTAAGCCCTAAACCCTATGAGGTTTAGGGCATGAATTTTGAGGGGGCTTATGAAGCCTGAAGTGTCCCAAATGGCCAGGGACGGTGTGAACTTCGACGTGATGCGGCCCAACGGGACCGGGGGCGATTCAGGCTTCGGGCCGTGGATTCTTGCCCAGCTCCAGTAACCATACGGTTTTAGGTACATTCTTGGGGTCCTTGCGCTTTCTGGAATCCGACCAGGTTGGGGTCTATGTTAGGGGTCCCCTATTGTCGTATAGCAGCAGATATTCAGATTTCGACCCTGAAGGGGCCTATGTAGTAGCAATCACTGCGGGACCCAAAGAAGTATTCCCGAAATACAGGGCTTCTGGAAGTCTACTTTTTCACTGTGGGAACTGGAAGCACCTCTGAAAGAAATCGGCCACAAACGAAGAAGGTTTTCGCAGAGCCGAGCTGTTGACAGAGCTGTTCACTCTATGATGCTATGCTGATGCTACGCATGCTACGATGTGGTGGAAGCTTTTCCCAGCCGTCGCCCTTGCGAACCCTTGAGTTTCGGGTTTAGGGTTTAGGGTTTAGGGTTTGGATGCTGGTCCACGATGCGTTTCTGAGGGTTGCGAGCCCTCTCGTCTCTCAGGGCACGCAAGCCACTCGCCCGATACGTGCAGGCTGATGCTGCGAGAGCTGCGGGAGAGAGGGCCACCTGTTGGGACTCCAAACTTCCACAACATCATCAAGAAGTCCCCAGTGGGTTTAGGGTTTGGGGTTTAGGGTTTAGGGGTGTAGTCCCGGCCTCTTTCTTTTTTTTTCTCCGTGTGGTCGTCTTTTTCTGAGTCGGAGCGGCTACTGACCACTAGCCTCAACATGCCGACCGAGTGTGCTGTTCACTCCCACTGGCGCAACACAGAGGTCGGCTTCAGTCTCAGCGCATGGCCTCGGTGCTGTGTTCTGAAAGTTTGGAGATGCGTCTCCCACACCCTAAATCCCTAAACCCTAACCCAAAACCCTAAGGGGAAGGAAAGAACAGGAGCGTGGGACAAGGCCAGGGGGCTTGACTCGCTGCGTCTTTAACCTGACATTCCACAGGTTCGGGCCAGTTCGGGCTGGCGGCCTGTGGGGGTCAGGGTTTAGGGTTTGGGGTTTCGGGCTTTCGGGTATCATGGTGGGGGGGTTGTGGGTTTCGGGTCATGGGTCGGTCCACCAAGCTACGGAGCATCGATTCTGAACATGTTCGAAGACAAGGAGGATGACTGAGCGAGAGCCTTCTTGATGAAGGATACTGAGTTACTCAGGGTTTAGGGTTTCGGGTTTGGGGTTTGAGGCTTAGGGTTCAATTAGAAGTTTAGGGTTTAGGGCTGACTTGCCTCACAGCCACAGAAGGACACGCGCATCGCAGCTCAGGGAAGCCACAGGCGAGGCTCCGGCAGCGAGCAAAACCCATCAAAACCCAGAAATTCGTTGAGTCTCGGAAAACAGGACATGAGAGTTTCCGGAATGATGGCCCCCCTGAAAAAGTTTAAAGATGAGCCGGAAGCAGTAGGGTTTGAGATTGTGAAGGCAACGTGTGTCTGTGAGTGATGGAGGATCCTTGGCGCCATGGGCTGCGTGCGGCTCAGTGCTGGCACGGACGAGCGTCAAGGAGAAGGAGCGAATGTGCCAATGAAGTGTCAACTTGAGCAGCAAGACAGCTGAGACATTGCTGATGGCCATCAAAGTGATATTTTTTGCAGAGGCTGAGACGGTGCCCCTACTGCAAGGATTTGGGTTCAAAGAGACTGTAGCTCTGGCCTCTTCGGGTGCCATCCTTATATACCCAAAGGGTGTTGCAGTGCCATGTTGCGAAATGGGCGACTTTGGGTGGCTGCGGCCTCCTTGATGGCGCTGTCCTCGGGCGAGTCTGAGCAGATGCTGCGGGCACTGCGTGGCAGGCCCCTTAAGGCCCAGGAAGCCGGTGTCCCGGGCAACACCTCAAAGCTGGCCTGGGGGAACTCGTCGGTGACGAGGGCTTTGCAGACGCAACAATCAGCGACGACATTCGTGGACACCGACAAGCTGGCCGCGCCGGAACAGTGGGATGCCGACAAAGATGCAAGGATTGACGCAAGAAACGAGGCCTTTGCCGCATCTGCCTATACCTTGGTGCTGGTAGCAGCGAACTTCGGCGAAAGCGGCACGGAGTGGAGTGACCAGCAGATCAACACCGTCATCGAAAGCACCAAGTCCATCCTAATGGCGGCCTCGGCCGCGGGGGGTATCGGGACCATGGTTGGTGCTTCGCTCATTGTCGGCATCTGGGATGTATTCAACCCCTACGACACCGAGGTCAGCTTGGAAGACCGGCTTGCACAGTTCAAGCAGGACCTCTCAGCAGCCTGTAGTAGCCGGGTTTAGGCTCTATTTCTAAGGTTGAGGGTTGCACAAAAGGGTTTTTGGGTTTCTGGTGTTCGTGTTTTGGAGGCCCTGATGATCCCTAGTGCCCTTTGGGTGCAGGAGATCTTGGAAGAAGTGAGCGGCATGATGGACACAGCCTTGCTGAGGGACCACTTCTCCAAGCGAGCCGTGGAGATCGGCCACTTCTACAAGCAGTTGAACTACGCTCGTGATGCCCTCGCACTCATGGAACCCTCTGCCAGACTGTCCACGCTTCTGTCTTTAGAAAGCGAGGCAGGAAACCTCAGAGACCTCTTGTTCTTCGAGTGTGTCACAAGGCCCTTGCGAAGTCAGGAGTGTCCCTCGGCATTTGCACCAAGCCTTGCAAAGTGCAGGCCTTCTAGGGGTTTAGGGTTTAGGGTTTAGGGTTTAGGGTTTAGGGTTTAGGGTTTTGGGTTTAGGGTTTAGGGTTTAGAGGCTACACCCCACAGTTGCAAGCCTCATGACAGCCCGAGGCTCCGAACAATTCAAGCCTGGCCTCTTCCTTCTCCAGAACCTCATGATGGTGCATCACACGCTGTTTGCCTGTAGCTTTCTGGGTTGCGCACACGGGTTTCTAGAGGAACCGACACTGCAGGGTTTAGGGTTTAGGGTTTTGGGTTTTGGGTTTAGGGTTTAGGGTCACTAATGCTGTAGGGTATGTGAAAAGAGTTGCAGGTGCACATTGAGCTGATGGGCGACCTCATCCAGGCCGCCAAGGAGGTGAGTCCACAGAAGGCCTGCCAGAGAAGCGCTGTTTAGGGCTTCAGCTTTTCAGCTTCCAGTTCCGGGCTTGGTTTCAGGGTAACCCAACAACCGACAAAGGCACCCTCAGCGCAACTTTGTTGCTTTGCAGGGTATGGACTTGAGCGCGAAGCCTCTTGTGCTTGCCTGAATATTGAATGGTGCTGGACGTAGTGAAAGTTTTCGATTAGGTCTTCCCTCGTCGGAATTCCGCTTGCAACAGTGCCTTCATCCCAATCTGGAGGAGGGAGAGGGAGCGAGAGAGAGAGAGAGAGACAGAGAGAGAGAGAGAGAGAGAGAATAAAAAAATAGAGAGGGAGAGAGAGAGAGAGAGAGTGAGCGAGCGAGAGCGCCAGGGTCACCGCCAAATCCTCAAGGATGGCTTCCGCAAGATCGGCTGCCCGAGGGTTCCAGACTTAAGCTCCAACATCACAACATGCCACTGGAGACCAGGCCTGGATTCACAGTTTTCGGGATGACCGTTCCTACAGTCGCTTCCCCGTTCGTCATCTGGCAGATGGCTTGTGAGAAGAAACCTGGCAGGCACGTGAGTTGCTTGCCGAGGTAGAGGATTCTCAAGTATCCGTGATCAGACCGAGCCGACCCCAGCTCAGGAATCGAGACCAAGTCGCTGCTGCCGGTCAGATCGAAATGTGCTGTGGTGTTGGCGTCCAGCAGAGCAGGTGCAAGCCAGAGAGCTGTCAAATAGCGACCGCTCCAGTTGCCGACGTGACAAAGATGTTCGCGGAGAGCTTGAGGGCAACTGGGTGCCCCAATACTAACGAAAGCATGGTGGGAACTAGGTGGATCCAAAGAACCCCAGACCATGCGTTGTCCGAGATGTACAACCTTTGCATCAAGCGTTTTGGATGCACCGAACTGTTGTTTCGGGTAAACGGTGTAGAGGATTTAGGGTGATTCTGCTCATGTGGACGCGCATCCCAGAAACGGTCCCCACGCCAGCAGTCCACCTTCGGAAAGCGATCAACTTCTGTGCTGCGGCGTTACTCCCTGCCGTACCAGTCTGTGTCGACAACTCACAGAGTTCACGGACAGGGGGCGCCTTGGATAGACATATGAGTGTAGGTTTGATGCGGACACTAAAACGCCCTCAGCCCTAACCCCAAGCCCGAAGCCCTCGACTCAGCGCCCGAGGAACGACCTCGTGCAGAGAATGAAGACGAAGTACCACCGCTTGGTACGTGATTACAGGCCGAGCTCCCGATCCCACTAAGTGGACCATTTTCCACGTCCTTGTCAGGGCAGTAAATGATCATGACATGGTAAGTTTGGGATGTCCAGTCGATTCCTCAATATCGTGAGCCGATGTCAGTTTTTAATTTCCCTTACAAAGACAGATCCGGACCTTGTCCAGGCAGCTTTGGGTCCGAGGCAACCGACAGCGCATTAATCAGCGGCTGGGCATGATCAAAAAGTATGTGAACTCGGCGGGTCATGAAGGCTGGAAAGATTTCGAGACTGGCCAGACTACTTTTGCCGATCCCAGCGCTGGTGATGGAATCGGGATGATGCAGCCAGCCTGCATGTAGCGGCAAATAAGTAACGTGTAGCCGGCGAGTTCTTTGGCCTGGTCTGTGAGCCAAGGAGTCACGGCGCCAAGCAGTGGCATAGCGGATCGATATACGATAGTCTCATCAGGGGGGGCGCTCTTGGACACAAGGCCATGTTAGCCATCTCCGCAGCTTGGCATACCACCGCAGGGTCGGGCGTCGCTATCAAGGAGCATTAGCTTCGCTTAACAAAGACGCACAGGTAGCACTCGTCTGTCTCTCTTTCCCTTTCTTTCTCCCTTTGTTTTGAAACATTCCTTTGCACAACCTGCTCTTTGAAGCCTCGTCTTCCAGCAATTTTGTTTCGCTCCCTTCTTCTTGATCTGCTTCCTCCTCTGTCAGGTGTGCCTGTTTGGTTAACTGTCTTCTGTGTTTTTGGGCTTCTGAAATGCCCAAGGGGGACCAGGCGAGGGGGGTTTCAAAACTAGCCTTTATAGTGTCAAACGAAGACAGCGGAAGAGAGGCCACTGAAACTTTGCATCGCTGACGCTGAAGAGAAACGAGCAAAGCAATCAGGCAAAAAGAAGAGGAGGGGGGGAAAGAAAGAGAGAGAGAGAGAGAACTCCCGGCCTTCATGCCCAGCAGAAGCAGAAGAACAAGAAGAGAGAGAGGAATACATGAGAAGCGAGTCGAGTGAAGGAGGGCAATGTTTGAGTTAGCATGATATTCCTCCGAAGAGGACCCGAAGGGGACTTTTCGTAGTTGTTTTGCTTCTTAACCGCTTATGGTATGGTAAACATGAACACGCTTAACAGTTACGAAGGCGGCCAACGACATGAAATAATTTACACACGCTGGATACTGCATCTCCGGGCCAAGCAAAGAAAGAAATTACAATGACAGCACTCAGGTGCGATGGCAAACTAGTACAATTGAAGGATTTTTCGTCTGATTGGTGCCATTATGGTTGGCAGTTCAGAGGCCGAGGAATTCAAGAAAAAGGGACGAGGCCGTTGTTGGCCTGCTGGGGTCTGAATACCAAACTGCAGGAAGCAACCAAAATCACAATTTCAGCTATGTTTTAACGCAGTTCCCGCGCGCCTTTGGAGAAAGAAGCCGCGCCAAATGTTCAATCAGTGTTCTTCGTTTGAGGCCGCAATCCAGAGGGGCGGACAAGGCACCAACTTCGTTGTCCTTCATGTCTTCTCCGTCTTTTGTTAAACCCCAAACCCTACTCTTGCGTGGTTGTTTTGGTCTTCTCTTCCGCCGAAAGAGACCCGAGAAGGCCAACAGGCCAAACTATATCCGACATTGTTTTTGCATGTCCCTGTCTTGTGGTAACTTTGCGCAAGCCGCCTTAGGGATAAGGGTTTTGGGTTTAGGGTGCATGTTCTTGGTTTTCGCAATTTTGCGAAAGCCGCCTAGCATTTTGCCTTGTGTTCACGTTGTAAGAAGATAGGCCAAGGCCCCTGAGGAACAGGAGGGCTTTGCTTACACAAAAAGCAGGATGAAACGTGAAAGGTAGTCGGCCAAAGGCTCCCCAAGGAACGGGAATATGTTTTCCTACCTTGGAGTCGATGCCAGGAAAGCAGAAGCCAGTTCTGAATTCTCCACACAAAAAAACAAGGGCTTGCGAAGTGTCACACGAATCCTTGAAGGAGCGTGGCCCAAACCCCGGGTGACAAGCCCCAAACACAAGCAAGAAGGCTTGAGAGGCTATTCAGTTTTGGAGCCTGAGGCCTTGGTCGTCACTACAAACAATCCGAATGCCAAGTCTTCGAACCCCGACATCTACTTCGGATACAGTGTGGAGCAGAAGGCCATGGCCTTCCCAGATGCGCTTGAGCGACGTTCAGTTGCAAGAGTTGTGGATATTCACAAGCGAACGCTTTGGGCCTCGTCTAAGCGGTACATCGGCACCGTGCTGACCTCCGAGGGCCTTAATGTGGGTGATGGTGAAACACCCGAGAGGCTCGGCTACGTCAGGCTGTGGTGGGGCAACTCCGAATGCCCGAACAGCGACGGCTTCTGTGGCCGCTGGGATCCCTACGAGAACGATGCACGCGGATGGCAGGTAGGCGACGTAATTCTACTGAACCGCGCCATTGAGTTTGACACAGGCATGACCACCACAACTTTGGGTACGGATGGAGCCGCGTGGATTATGCAAAACACGGTGAAGGTTGGCTGGCAAGGTGGCGGCACACCAGGTCTCCAACAGGCCTTGTTGACCGTGGACATCCCACAGTGCAATTGGCACGTTCGCTTCCGGATGAGGCTGGGACAGACGGGCGCTGGCACAGCGGCCTCCTTCGGCTTCAAGGACGCGACAAGCACATCCCACTTCTTACTGGACGCACCAAGGTTAAAGATGATTTTGTGAACTCGTCGTTCCGTGCATTCTTTGCGCAGTCTTCCGTGTGTAGCCCTTGGGCCCACTCAGACTGAGGCATCGTCCTCAATGTCCACGTTTGCAACAGAAGCAGGGAAGTTTGGGTCCCTAGCCAATTATGTTAAAAGTCCTCGCATTGTGGCCGGATCTTGGCATAGCTGGGAAATCTCCAAAGCCGACGACCTACTCATGATCAAGATTGATGGCATCTATCTTCACCACTGGCCCGCTAAAGGCTGGGCGATCAACGCGCTCGTGTTCAGGCCCTGGAGGCACAGCCACGCTCTTTCTGTTTTTTCCCTACAGCAAGGGCTTATAGATCATG